AAAGCAGAATTAAAACTATATCTTTGTGAATGTATTTATTAAGAAATGCATTTTTCAGGTGTAATATATGATGGCAAAGAACGTATAATGCAAGATGCTGAAATGATATTAGAAACTCCCAAAGGACATTTAGCTAATGTGAATAACTCAACTTCAAGAATATTTGTGACATATAGACGTGCAAGTCGTAAAATGCCATGCAATTCATTAGTCGTGACTGATGTTTGTGTAATCTTAACAAATAAAGGAGAGACTCCCCCACATGCATTCTGTGTCATTCATAAAAATTTGAACAAAGGCATGTTGGGTAGTGATGTATTTCTGTGCTATAAGAAATCCATGAATCGAGCAAATTTAATATCATTTAAACCTGCAATACTATATAAATATCCAATGGCTGATTACAGCAGTTTTGTCTTCCCAAATTCTGTTGCAATGTTTTGCTTACCAATGGGAGCAACAATTGAATGCTGGCCCAAAGTGGCATGTAAACCTAAACCAGTGTTTTCAACATTTGTTTTAACAGTTGCTGATGCAGCTCAAAAAATATATGGTTCAGCAATAACATTTTATGAAGAACTTGAATTAGAATTAGATATATCAAACTTTAAAGAAAACCAACAATCAGCTGATGTACTCATGGAGAATATGAAGAATTCTGGTATGGAAAAACATGTATATTTAGTTCCCTTACATAACCATTTTGTAATCAAAGATAAAACGTCTCACAGTTAAATTCATTGGTCTATTTAGTGAATATTTTAAGATTTGAGTATAAAAATCGTATAAAATACAACAAAGAACATAACTATATCAATAATCATATTTCATATCTATTATTGTTTATTGCCTTGAACAGTAAATAATATGAATAAATACATTTTTCATGGTTACAGTTAACATAGAACACTTGCCAACATTCTAAATATTTTCTTATTTATCAGTAACAACAAAAAATAATTCATTTCCACCATGTTTTAAGTAATACAATTTTTTATTTGTAATGGCATATTGATATTTTAGTAAATACTAATTCATAATACCTTTGTTTCTAAAATTGCATTAATTTGTCATGCCCTACTTTTAAAAAAAATCTTTATTTTGTTTCAGTTGAGCACACTGAAATTGACTATCAGCAATTAAAAACGAAAACTCACAAACAGTCGGGAATATTTAAGAAGCTGACTCTAGCGCAGTTGGAAAAGCTGCAGTATACAAATTCTGCAACGCAATCTTTGAATATTAGCAAATCTATATGCATCCTATCTCATTGGCCGTTCTTTGATACGTTTGAAAAATTTTTAGTTTTCTTACATGGCATGTGTAACAACAAACCGCAACAAGTTCCTATTGAGAAGTATATAGCATATTTTTTGTACGATATACCGTTTCCAAGCCCACAAAGACCAAGAATTCTCGTGCAGTTAAGTGCTAAGGACAGGTTGATTTTGACGCAACCAGAAGATTTAGCACTACCTAGATCTGGTGCCAGTTTTCGGCAGTTACTTATCAATTTAGGGGCTGATAATTGTTTACTTATATTATTGCTAATACTTACTGAACAAAAAATACTTGTACATTCGTTACGCCCTGATGTACTTACATCAGTGAGCGAAGCTATAGCTATGATACTATTCCCATTTAAATGGCAGTGCCCATACATACCTTTGTGTCCTCTTGGATTAGCCGAGGTAACGAATTTTTGTTATTTTAATAATTCTTTTATAAATGGTGGGAGAATACGATATAATACAAAATGTATTTGAAATTCTAGGTTTTGCATGCACCTCTGCCGTTCTTGATAGGTGTGGATTCCAGATTTTTCGATTTATACGATCCTCCCTCCGATGTTAATTGCGTAAATTTAGATACAAATAATATAGCGATTTGCGATGACAAGAAATACTTAAATGTAAAATTATTACCAAAGAAAGCAGCTAGACAGCTTAGAAATTGGTTAGAACACCTTTATTCAAAGTTGATTTCTTTGGGAAAAAGCTATTCATCCATGAAAGGTATATTCGACATTGTTACTTACCATTGTTGTCTTTCGATTTTAATTTCCTTATATGTAATTATTTGTATTTTTTAGACACAGAAGATGAAGAATTTAGTGTGGATAAAGAATTTCAGCAAAAACGAAAGGAACAAGCTTTGGAGCTCGAAATACAAGATGCTTTCTTAAGATTTACTGCTACTATATTGAAAGGATATCGTGCTTTCTTATTACCAATTACAAAAGCTCCAACAGTTGGTTCCACCGATCCAACTAGTTTATTCAACATACAAGCGTTTCTTAGAAGTCGAGACAAGGCACATGCGAAATTTTATAGTATGTTAGTGAAGACGCAAATGTTTATAAGGTATGTCTATTAATATTTCTGTTACAAGATTCACAAGGTTTAATGTAACAAATCATTTGTTGCATTTGTTTAATATCATATATGTATAAATATTTTCTTCTTATGAAGTAAACAAACCATTGCTGTCCTTTAACCGAAATTTCCGATTATCTAGAATTCAAATATCTTGGACATTTAGAATTGAGTAATGAAAATTTTAAAATATACAATTATTTTATTTCAATTAAAGTAAATGTTCAAAACGATGCCCTTGAATAGCAACACAAGCATTTAAACATTTAGTAACATTTTGAAGTGTCTTTTCAATCACTTCCGGCGGAATGGATGTGGAAGTCTTAGTTATTTTATCTTTCATGTTTTTTGGATTGGTTGGATTCTCGCGGTAAACATCATCTTGTAGTTTTTCTCACAAAAAGAAATCGAGTGATGTAAGGTCAGACGAACGAGTTGGTTACAGTATCTGTTTATTGCGATCAGTCCAACGAATTTATGATTTATATTTAGAAATTCTCTTGTAGCACATGAAAAATGAGTTGAACAATCATTGTGTTGGTACTACATTTATTTGCGAATACGTAAGTGTGCGTTTTTTAAAAGGACGAAGAACAACATATCGGTATTCAATTAAAATTTAATAACTGATTGACGTTTGAATACGTTCAGATAAATGCTGAAATGTGTCATACACTAATGAAAAATAATATTTTAGTATGAGAAATAATAATATGATTCCTATATTTAAAGTAATTCCAACACATTTACATTTTGAAACATTACTATATGTATTCTTAAACATTTTTTTACGGTATATTACTCTAGTTTATATTTTTTAGATTTATAGAAGAAAGAAGTTTTGTATCCGATATGGACATGGCGGGTTTAGCTTTTTTTGACGAATGTACGGAGCGCATCGAGGAAGAAAATGGTAAGATTACTTTGGTACAATTAGCATTTATATACTATTTTTATACAGAGTGTTCTATAACACAATTAATGGCGCAACGACAAAAGTACTAATTTTATATAAAAAAATAAATCGATAATATTAAACAAAATTTACTTCAACCAAAATTCGTTCAGTTAAAATATTGTGAACCATATGCACATCTGATAAATATTATTTGAATAGAATATTTAGTGAAATTTTTCTGAAGAACGTTTAGAAAACTTGTCAATTTTTCATTGAGTAATTTCAGTAGCATATTCATTTAGTAGCAAATAAGCATTTTCAGTAACATATTCTGCAAATTTAAATATTCGTTTTAGTGCCTCTCTTGGAATTGGACGAATCTCAACATAGTGAACGGACAGTATTTATACCTCCACCTGAAGCTGGACCTAATCAATCGCCGATAATATATCGCACATTTAAATTAAATCCAGACTTAATAAGACCACAAAAAAATTTTAACTTGAGAAATCCGAATTTAAGTGCCTTCGGAATAGTACCAGGAAGTCCTATGGCACGTAGAACCAAGCACGAAATCAAGGTGGCGCAGAGGATGGCGCGTAAACAAGTAAATAAAACTATTCTCTAACATTTATATTCTTCGATAAAGCTTTATAGAAAATGGCACAAAATGGTTATAGATTTTCGTTTTGAACATTAATTTGCGTTCAAATATTTAAAGAATCGTATTAACATATTTTTAGCTGATACAGGAAAGCTGTAAATAATTATGTGAATTAAAGCATGTAAATGTATTCGACTGAAATGTAATCAAGTTACAGGCGAGCATATTCGCTAAAAGTAATTTTATAATTAAAAAAAAAAATTAACTTCTGATAATTTGTTATAACTTTTATCTTATAACGATCTGTAACGTTTTTTAGGCAGCAATGCCAGGTAGGTGGGGCAGATGTCTGCTTGGAACTTGTTACAGTCTTTGGTTTTTGCATTTACCAGCTATGTTGCAAGTTTCCAACCAACCCGCTGCAATTTTACATCAAGCTTATGATTTATTAGTTAAAATGCCGAAATTACATCTTGATCCAATTGAGGAAGTAAGTTTTTCTATTCTTATCTGTTTAAATGATTATTTTACCATTAACGAATCTTACCGTAGAAGGTATCGATTTTAGGTTTGCTATAGGGCTATGATGCAACTGTGCGGCGTTTATGGACAACCCGTTTTAGCTGTAAAATTGCTATTCCATATGAAGCGTAGTGGTGTTCAACCAAACGCTCTCACTTATGGATTTTATAACAAGGTTTGATTTTGTTTTCAGAGAAATGAATATTTACGGTTACTTTTTAAATGCTCTTTTCTATAATTTTCAGGCTGTACTGGAAGCAACTTGGCCATCTGACATGACAAACTCCAGTCAGTTGATGTGGAATAAATTAAGAAATGCTATAGTTGGAGCTGCTCTGTTTAAGAGAGCTGGTAAAAGAAGTGCTAGAAGAAGATTGAGTTCAAATGCAGAATTATTAGCTGTTGATGGTAAAACAACAAGTATGGAACATGCATTTTCTAGATCTAGTCTTGACAGTTCTCATTCTCAAGACACAGAAGCTGCCCACAGTGATTGTGAGTATTTGTTTATCTTGTTTAATTACCGTTCTTTTAGAAGTAGGTTTTCATTTTTGTTTTCTTTCTTGGTTTTCTTTTCTATTAATTGGTAGCTACTAAAGGGAGCTCTGTCTCAGATTTGCCGGAGTATGGGCCTTTTGAAATAAAGAAGCTTCCCCGACAAAATAGTATTGTTAAAGATTCAGCAGTATTAAATGTTATGCAAACAGAAGAATTGGACAATTTACAATTGAGTCAAAGGTAA